GTGCTCTGGAACTGGCCATTCTAATAGGTGTGTATTGGTATCTCAATGTTGTTTAATTTGTGTTTCCCTAATGACCTATAATGTTGAGCATCTTGTCATATGCTCATTTGCCATCTGTATATCTTCTTTGGTGAGATATCTGTTAATATATTTTGCCCATTCTTGAAATTGGGTGGTTTGATTTCTTATTGCTGAGTTTTAAGAGTTCTTTGTATATTTTGGATAACAAACCTTTATCAGATATATCGTTTGGAAATGTTTTCTCCCAGTCTGTAGCTCATCTCTCATTCTCTTGAACATATCCTATTTTAACAGTGCTCTGCTAGATGTTGTATGGGCATATAATATTTAAGACAGAATTTCTACCTTTTAAGTGGCTTGTTGGGAAATACCTATTTCCTCGATGCAGAAAGACCCCCATTTCTTCTTCTATTCACTACTGGTGAAGCTCTTAAGTGGGCTTTGGCAGTGGTAAACACTCCAGAGAATTGGTATATTTGGAAAACTTGCTTCAAGAGTGAGAGTGTCATTATAAATCATACTCTGGCGACTTACGTATAAAAAAGCTTGAGACTCTGAATTGTGTGGTAAGACAAAATGTCATAAATATTGTGATATTTATATATTTTTTTACAGACCAATGTCACTGATATTACTGCATTTGAAGATTACGAAGTAGTGATGACTTACTTGCATAAGAAATATGGTAACTTGGCTAAGATAAATAAATTTTATTTTGTTCATCTGTCTTTTCTTTTTACTTTGAAATATTTAAAATTATTTAACAGAAGGAGATTATTTCTAAATAGCATGGAGTCCTAGGAGTATACCTCACATGAGTCAGCATTAGCTTATAATCAGTTACATAATACTAGCAAATGAACATAACGTGCTTAAATGTCAATAAATAGTAAACAGAACTCTTCAGTGTGTCCATTCATAAGCAAAAAACAGGGCCTGAAAACCCAGTGTGAATTGGATGTCAGTTATGGTCAGTTTGGATGCACCAATTGACTGGTGCCAAAGTCATTTTGGAGCATAGTGTCCAACTCTAAATCTTAAATGAAAGTAAAACTCAAACATTGAGCTGAGGAATAGAAGAGCCAACACTTGTGAGACAGACAGTGAGCCGGATCCAATCTCTAGGACATATGCTCCCCACACTCTGTCCAATCCCAAAGAAGAAGAAATAGTCACTGTGTCCAAATGTATCATTCCTCTGAGAAAGCCAGAGAGTGAGAGAGGGCAAGATAGGGCAAGAAAGCGAGGGGACAATCAATCGTATCTCCAACCAGGAAGATATGCTGGGTCACTCAACTGTGGGTCCCTCTTTTTGGTGATACTGATACAAATGTTTTTCGCAATTGCCCGAGCTGTGAGGTTTCCAAAGGCAAAGATAAAAAACCAGTTGCAGAACATGCAGAAGAAGGAACCTGTGGCTAGGGCTCTGTGCAGTGCAAAAATCGTGGGTGTGGGGCCCCTGCAGCCCTGAGTTCCAGTCCTTGCTTTGTCTTTAATAGATTTATGATCTTGGGCAATTTACTTAAACCTCTGGGCCTTGATTTCTTCATTTGTAAAATGGAGTAATAATTTCTGCCATTCAGTACTACTACAGGGATGAATGATAATTTACGTCAAATACTTGATCCATAGTAGGGATTCAATAAATGTTAAGTGATTCAAAAAGATCATTCAGGCCTTATTCATGTGTTTAATGATTGCACTGTAAGGAAAGCCCAGATGCACTTCATTTTTTTAATTGTTAAAACATGTTTATTATTTTTTTCAGTTACAGTTAACCAGATGCACTTTATTTTTTATTTTTTAATATTTATTTATTTATTTATTGACCAGATGCATTTTAAATACTCTTCTGCTTGTACTGCTTTCCTTGGAAATGAAATACTGTGCACTCATGTGTTACCCCCTTAAGAGTATTAGTAAGCGAGTATCTGCTAGGATGCCTTCAGTTGCAAGTAGCAAAACCTCCAACTCAAAGCTGACAAAAAATGAAGTGAATTTATTGGTTCATGTAATTAGAAAGTCCCATGATCAAGTTAGTTTGACAGCAGCTCCAAGATGGATTAAAAGATCTGGTTTCTTTTTTGTTTCTTCTCTGCAACCCTTGTTATCAGCTTTATTCCAAGTCTGCCTTCTTTGTAGTTGCAAGATGGTTATCAGCAGAAGTCTGGGTCCATCTGTTAAAACTGAATTTATGTGATGAAAAATCTACTATAAGAGCTATATTAAGATATAAGTATATTTCTCCCCTATATAAGGGAAATGCAGAGATAGACAGCCCAGGGCTGGTATGGTGGCTCCATTATATCATGGGCTGAGATATCTAACTTGATGTTCCACATCTTAGGGCATGGCTCCCTTTCTCAAGGTCACCTCAAGGCCCAAAATGACTGCTGGAGCTCTAACCATTACATCTGCATTCTAGGCCTGAGGAAGGAACATAAGAACGGCTTACCTCTTCTCTTGTAAGGAAACTCTTTGAAAGTACCACACAATCCTTTTGCTTTCACCTCATTGGCTGAAACTTAGTCACATAGGGCAAACTCAAATATGCCCAGCTGGAAATTAAATCATTTTTACTCCCAAGAAGAAAGGGACAATGAATATTTGAAGGCAACCAGCACTCGTTGCCACTCAGGGTCACATGCTTCCTTATTTAGGCACAGTGGACACAGAATGCCTTTTCTGGGAGCTTCCGTGGAAGAGAACAAATGTTTCTTTCTTGGAAAAC